TTATTTGTACTTTTCTAAGCATATTCCTTAACATGAGAAAATATGTTTTCTTTGAATAAGAGAGGACTGAGGTGAAGAAATGAGGACAAGATGGCTTGGATACAGATGTACGCATACAGATGGCTTGGGTAGCTTGGGTTTGGTGAAAGAGTATGGAAAGTGCCTGTCATATTTCTTTCCAGGAACTGTGTCCCTTACTTTAGCCTGGGTATAACACTATCCAGGGAAAGATTATTTTTAGCCTCTGTTGTCCTAGGTGTGGCTCTGTGTCTAACCCTGGTCCACCATCTTAAGGACAAGCTGTTTCCCCTGTACTCTCTCTTTCCCTTCTCTTGTTGATTGGGGTTTGACTGCAGATAGTCTTCCTTGACCTAGAGATGGAAGTCAGATTGATGTTGAAAATGGTAAAGTCAAGACCTGGCAGAACTCTGATAGATTCTGTGAAGCTGAGACATCTCCGCTCCACAGACTGACCAAATACTTTTATGGAATTACATGAGTGAAACATGATTGGAGCTCCAGGAGTGTGATCAATTAGTGTGTGACACTTATACATACTGTATTTCTGTCTTTGGTGGGAGCTATAACAGTTATGTTATAGCACTGAGCCAGTGTTATAACAGTTTAACTGTGTACTAATATATTATGAGGGGAAGTAATAAGAAATGGCAATACACAGAGAGGAATAAAGAAACAAAGAAAGGATTCTTAAATAATGCAAATAATGAACACATTTAATTTTTTTTTGTACCAGCAACTGAACTCAGAACCTCATGCTTGCCAGGTAGGCACTATGCCACTGAGCTATATCCCTGGCTTAACACATTTAGATATTAACTTAGAGTTTAGAATATAGGAATGGAAGAAAGGACCAAAAATGTAGCAATCATAGGTTTAAAAATGGATCAAATTCACTTAGAAGATAAGAGTGACAGAATATCAAGTTCACATGGAAGAAGTGGAACTGGAAGAGCCCAGTGAAGCAGAGGAAGACTGAATTTTTCCAATAGAAGGATTTTAATACTAGACCATGGAATCAGGGCTGAACAGTGAGGAAGACAAGGGCAGAAACAGGCAGACAAAACTGGAGCAGAAAATGGACTGGAAGAGTTAGTGAAGATGAGTACTCATTAATGAGCTGGAAGTAAAATGGTGGAATGTTCATTTGAGGCTCTCAAAGGTCTCAAGTTTCAGGGAAAAACAGTGACTGGAGGCAGCTGAGGTGAAAGAAGAAGGTCTCTGTAGAGGAAGACAAATCTTCTGACTACAGAAAATAGTTTTGTTGTAAAGACAGATAGGATTCTATTCAGTAGAGAAAGCAAGGTCACAGAAGAAAGAAAAGAGAAATTTTTGGTGTATTAGGACTAAAAAAATAACCTTTAACTTTCCAAGAATAAAATCTCTTGGAAATGTAAGATGAAAATCAATTATGAAGGAACATGAACGAAAGAGTAGTTTAGACATTATTTTGCAGCCCAATGTCAATCACAATGTTATCAGACATTGGTATGTATAAAGATGACAAATAACATTTTAATTTAATTTTATTTTCTTTACGACTTGTGTCTGTGGATTTGTGATTTTTATAATTCTTAGAAAATTCTTAGCCATTATGTCCATAAATACTGCTTTTTTCCTATTCATTTTTTTTCTTTAGAACTTCTACACTGGACTTTTTAAATTAGTATGTTTGTAGTACATAATATTTAAATCCCCTATGCGGGGTTGGTACATGTATATAATGTCTTAATTCCTTTTTCCATCCTCTTTTACTCCCTCTCATTCTTCTTTGATCTCTTGACTCTTCTGTTTTGCATACTTAAGTTCTATTAACCATTTATACATACAATTAAGACAAGTCAATTTATAATTATTATAAAGTATAAACATTAATACCTTAGTACATTGAATATACTATACATTAAAAATCCATACCCTCTTTTTCATTTTAGATTTGTTATTAAAAGTAATTAATTCCCCCCCAAAGTAACTAATTCCCTTTCTAATATAACAAATTATCTAATACTTAGATTCAAAGTATCTTGATCCACTGGCTGTTATGGTGGTTACATGAAATGTCCTGTGTGAGTTACCTTTATTACTAAGACAAAATACTCAACACCCAAGGTCAAATGAAGATAGGTTTATTTAGCTTAAGAGTTTACAGAGGTATCAGTTCATAAATGTCTAGCTCCAAAGAAGAGTGGATGGCAGAGAGAAGAAAAACAGTTCAAGGCAGGCAGAAAGTAGCAAAGCCATGAGGGATGGCCACACTCTTTCTGTCATCTACCTAGGCTGCTCAGGGCAGGTAGTGTTCATACTTTTATATTAATGCCCTTGATCCTAGCATTCCACCATGAATCCATTCCAGCAGCACACACTCCAGATCCAACCATCCCTGAAAAAGCCCCACCTATGACCACATGAGAATTTGGGGGAACATATAAACATAAACCATAACATTCTGTCCTCAACCCCCCAAAGACTCATGCATATCTCTTTTATACAAAAGACATTTGGTTTGTCTCCAAAAGATGCCAAAGTCCTAACAGCTTCACAGTGAATTGAAAAGTCCAAGTTCAAAGTCTCATCTGAGATTTAAGGCAAACACTTAGCTGGGAGCCCCTTTACTAACAAAGAGAAAGGTAAACACTTCCAGTATTCAGCGGCACAAGATAGACATTTCAATTCCCAAAGTAACCAATTGGGGGATAGCAAGGAATAGGAACAAAGCAAGACCAAAGTCCAGTAGGGTTCAATTTCCAGCACCTCTGGCAATCTGTGACAAGCTGTATGGCACTTCCAGAGGTGGCACCTCCCATGACTTCTTTCTTTGGTTGACTTTGCTCACTCCTTGCAGCTTTCCTTGGACAATCTATACTCTGGCTTCTCCAAACTTCTGTGGTCTCCACCGTACCTTTGTCTTCACACTCATGGCTTCACACAGTGCCCTCACAGAGGCATACTGCCTGGCTTCCTAGGCCTTCTTCTGAAATCTGGGTGGAAATCTTCCTGAGCCCATAACTCTTGAGTTCTGCATCTACCTAAAACTAGCATCAAGTGGATGATCCCATGTTATGCCTCCAGCTGGAGCAGTAGCCAGGCTTCCTCCTCTTTTGGCTCTAGGGGTTGAGTGCCTGAATCGCTGAGCACTCTGAATTGAAATCAAGGAACAAATTCTCTAGGCTGCTGCTATTCTGGAACACGATGCTCTGGGGCTACCTTCTCTAAGAAAAATCTTTCCCCTTAGCAAGTCTGAGGTTGCAAAGAGTCCTGCGACTTGTGATGTCACCAGACTACCTTTTTTGTTGTCCTCTGAAGTACTTAGTTCTTTTTTGCTAGTCTTTTCATTGACCAGTTTCTCTTCTGTTATATTTTTTTAGGCCATAACTGTACTGGAGCTTCCTTTTTGTTCAAGCACAAAGTGATCTGCATCACTCTGCTGGGCTCTTTGTTCTCAATTCTCAATATAAATCTTGTTTAAAAAAAAAAAAAAAAAACAGTAGCCATGCCACTGCCTCAACATTAGATTGCCTTGATAGTTCTTCTGCCGGCTTATTTGGTCATCCATTTTTAATCTCAGTCTCATACAAAATCTCTGGACATGAATAAAATGCAGACAAACTTTCTGCCAAGGTATAACACATGTTGTCTGGAGTCCAACAGCAAAATGCAGTCCTTTTTCCCAGCAGAAACCTGCTGAGCCTGAAGTTTAAAGGCAGATTTCTATTACCTTTCTGGTCTTTTGAGCTCTGATCTGAATCTCTCATCAAAGTACCATGCAAGGTGTTCTAGTTCTACTTCTTCAACTGACATCTCTGAACCTTTCCAAACTCTTGCCACAAGACAGCTTCAAAGGCTCCTGAACCACATGGTCAGCAAGTACTCTACTTCTGGTACCAAATTCTGTCTTTGTTACGCTTCTCATTGCTGAGACATATACTCAACACCCAAAGTTAAAAGAGGAAAAGTTTATTTAGCTCACAGTTTGTAGAGGTTTCAGTCTATAATTGGGTGGCCTTGAGGCAGGGTGGATGGCAGATACACATTGCAGAGTAAACACAGTTTATGTTGCACAGCAGGTAGCAAAGCAACAAGGGATAACCACAGCTCTTTCTATTCCTTATATCTCATCCAGCACACTCAGGGATGGTAAAACTCACACCTTTAATCCTAGTGCCCTTGAGCTTAGCATTGCACCATAAATCAATTCCAACATCACATACTCTAGATCCAGCCACCTCTATAAAAGCCCACCTATGACCACATGAGGCTTTGAGGGACATCTAGACACAAGCCATACCATCCTGCCAAAAGGTTCACTGCTTTGAAGGTTTGGTGCCAACAGACGGTTTTTGGAGTTTATGGGATCAGGAGGGCTCTATCTTCATTAATGGATTAATACTTTGATGGCATTACTGGAAGGTGATACAAATAGGAGGCTCAGCCTCCTGAGTGCCATGAGGTAAATATCTTTACTCCACTATACCCTTCTCCCCCCTCAGGCCCAGCCCACAGCAACAGAACCAGACAAATATGGACACAGCCAGGAGGCAAAATAAATCTTTTCTTCTTTAAATTATTTATCTCAGGTACAGTGGTACCTTGGATCACAAGCTTAATTCTTTCCATGACTCTTATGGTAGAATCGCATATGCTGGCAATTTTAGTTGCAATCCGAATTGTGGAATTAATGAGTCAACCAGAATCATGGAAAGAATTAAGTTCATGAACAGAGCTACCACTGTTTATTGGCAGAGTGTACTAAGCTGACTAACAGAGTGCAAGACACACAGAAATTTCTGAGGTCCTTTTCATAGCATTCTAATCTATGTTTTTAAATCTGAGGACTCAATTTCTTTCTTGTCTAGATGTTGTAATAAAATATAAATACTAATACATTTCCATTAAAATGTAGGAATAAATTGCAAATTAAAACTAAGATTACCAAATTCCCTTAGGACAGAGTCATTTTTATAGTTTTGGAAGTGAATGCTTACCTATGATGAGCCTTTGAAGCGTACCCTTATCTCCATTTACCGCAGCAGCATGAACTTGTGACGCTAATGAAGAGCCAGTAAAGAAAAAGTTCTCTGACTTGTTCATAGTCATTTCAACAACTGGAGCAGCCTGAAACAAGTGATTTAGTCAGTGAATATATGCAAGAAACATTTCTGCAACCTGTCTCACCAGGTCCAAGTGTGGATGGTACAAACATGTTTTACTACAATGAAAACAATGTTTGGCTAGGGAGATAGCTCCACGGTCTAAGCGCCTCCCTAGCAAGAGCAAGGACCCATGTTTGATCCCAGTACCATATGCCATGCCAGTCCTGGAACTCTGGCATGCTGCGTTGGCCACTGAAACTGGGTGTGGTGGTGCACACCTGTAATACAAGTGCTGGGGAGGCTAAGACAGGAGGATCACTTTGAGTCTAAACTGTGTAGTTCTCATCCACATGGCTGCACTGATGAAGGTTCTACAATCTGAGGTACAGGATCTCAGGACAAATCCTGAGGGCATTTCACTGACCTTCTCAGACCAAAAAGCTACAACTCTTGTTGCATAGGTCCTGCTTTACCTTGGTCTTAACCAACCAGTAGAAAAGTATGAAGTCGAAATATAAGAAATAAAGCCATGCTGTTAAGTTGAGCTGTGGGGGACTCAGGTCAATAATTTCTGACATTGCCAGTTAAATATAAGACCCAATGCTATTATAGGCTACTGGACTCTTTTAGAATATTTTGCTGAGTTTACACACCTATACTATTCAATAACGGAACTTAGAAAAAATGGGGTATACCAATGAATGTCCATTTTGTATCTGTGTATTCAAAGAGGTTGGGATAGATATATAGTTGCATTCTCTTAATGAATAGAATGATTTGTTCTAATGGTGTTTGTAAATAGGATCACAAGTCCGCATCTTGTACAGCAATTAACCACTAAGAAGAATATATGCAGTGTATTATTTGTTGAAACTGTCCTTCCGATTTGATTTGAAACTGTCTCATTGCTGTTTGTCAATAAAACTTTGAAAAAATAAAAAAATAAACTGTGTAGTTACACCCTGTATACAATAAATAAATAAAAATTAAGTAAAAAAAAAAAAGAAAACAATGTAGTCCTAGTCCTGTAATTGCCATAATATGGCAAATTAAATGTCTGTGGTACCAGTTATTTATCTATAAAATAAAAGGAAGGAGTGCTTTTAAAACCATTCTCAGGCAGGGGATATAGCTCAGTGATGCAGCACCTGCCTGGCAAGCATGAGGTCCTAAGTTCGATTCCGAGTATCTCCCCCATCCCCACCCCGTAAAAAATCACACACATTCTCAGGATCTGAGGAGATAAAAATACACAATATTTAACATTAGGTACAGGGCTCAATGAGCACAGTAACTTCTAAGTTAATACAGGTAACATGATTCCACATAATACTAAACACTGTAAGTGATATTTGCAATCAAGCTGAAGATGAAGGCAGAAAATGGGTACAATGTCAAGTCAAAATCAAATAATTTTTATGCACTACATGAAAAGGCACCTAGTTCTTTTCTTCACATCTGAACAATACGACTTTTTTTTTCCTTGATCCATCAAATGAGATCTTGACCTTAGGATTTTACTTCGAACACAATATCTTTAGGATTAAAAATATTTCACTAAGAAAAAATTGTTCTGATTGGTAATTCCATTATTTTTTGAGGGCATTTTAGATATGTATCAGTTACATTGGAAAATAGTGACTTCCCTCTCTTTAGGTTTAAACACAGGTTGAAATATGTCAGAAATGTAGCAAGAATTCAAACATCTCATACTAAGAAGTGGGGGGGAGATATATATGCTCTATCAAAAATCCAGAGTTAGGGCTGGGGAGATAGCTCAGCAGCATAAGTGCCTGTGTAGTAAGCACAAGGTCTTGAGTTCAATCCCCAGTACCATTTAAAAAAAAAATTGAGAATTGCCAAAAAGTACCAAGGAGATAGGAGGTGTAAGAAATCTAAAAGTTATGGGGATCATAGCAAACTGGAACTTAGAGTACATACTTACAGGAAATAAGAAACTTTTAATTGGTTATACTTAATTGTTGCCAGGCCATAATTGTTGGGAGTCTTGTTCCCAAATAATAAGTACTTCTATTGTCACTGACAAAGATACTCAGTTCAAATTCCTCCTTCGGGAGAAAGTTTTAAAATTGTGGTTAAAGCTCCTTATGTTTATTTTGTTGGCAACTTGGTTAACATCATGGCAGAAAATGTAGAAGAAAACGGTATTATGACACACTTCAGTCATGTCTGAACAGGTCCATCCTGTCAGAAAAACCACTAACATCATCATGATAGGATTAAATTAAAGTCACTTGGAGAAGCCACAAAACTAGGGTGAACAAACATGGTTGAGAGTAATTGTGTCTGAGTTCTAGGCTGCATTATTAATAATTATCAGTGTGTCTTTAGACTTTCTCATCTCTAGATTTCTGTAAAATATGAAAAATGAAAAGTATGGACTATGTTTATTCATCCAACAAGGGCCAACTATGTGGATTGTTTTGAACTTTAAGACTTGTCATCTTAGATTCTAAATGATAGGTTTAAGGTACATCAGATCCACAAAAATGTTCTTTGTATACTTTGAAAAACACATGAAAATTAGATTTCATATATATATATATTTATTTATTTACATATTTCATCTCATAGTTCATACCACTTAGTATTTTAAGATTTAGATTTAGTGCTTTGTAAATGCTTATTGAATGAAATGTTATAGCTGAGCACTACATCCAAAAGGTAATCAGGATCAAGGTTTAATTTATTTTTTAATCCCCCAGTTCAGCCATTGTTAGGTTCTGTTAGAGAGGTGGATAAGTAGGATAAAGATAAAACACTGCCATAGACTTTAGGAGACTTTATTCTTGGCCTCTACCACTGACTTAATTTGTCACTCTGGGAAAGCTATTTCTCTAGGGTTCTTCTCAGCACAAATGCATTTTTCATGAATTTTTTTATACATGAAAATCAAAATAGCTTTGTTAAATATAATATAATATGTACAGGTACTATCATCTTTAACTTATCAAATAGACTAGTCTAATAAATGCATAAAAATCATAACTGTTCAAAACTAGTAGTATTGTAGTCACAAAAAGGAGAAGCACTTTTCCTTAGGACAAAAGGGTGGTTGATTGAGACAGATGTCAGAGCTAACAAATGTCAGAAATTATGACATTTGAGATGGCATTCCAGAAAGAAATGGGACAAGACCATTTCAGGCAGCAGGAAAGCTGGAGCAAAGGTAGGGTGTAGGGAGAAACACAAAAGCTCTGAGTGGCTACTGGTTGTTTAGTAGTATGTTGCTGTCCTTAAGGACACAGGGACATGCTGGGTGTTTACAAAAGATTCTGGAAGGCTTCCAGGGTCCAGATTAAGTTCCTTGACTGTCTGGCCCAGGAATTTGTAATAATCCTTCTAATTCATGCATTAGAAGCAATCATCTAGCATTGAGCTTTCCAGTTTATAACATGCTATCTTATCTCTTACGATAGCTCCTTTTTTACACAAGCCCTCATAATCAATTAAGGAGAAGACAACTCACTGAGCCCCTGATGGAGGTTCCTATTTTATAACGAAGGAAATAGCACAGAAAGAGGAGGCAGCAGGCGAGGAGACCAGGGAGGGAGGCTCAGGTCAAGGCTAAGGCCAGGAGGACCATAAAGGCGGTGCACACCGATCAATCAGAGCTTCCCAGCTAGGCTCTTTCCTACTCACCCTCGCCTCCTCCAGGACTGACGTCCCAGGAGGCTGCTCCAGGAAGCAAACCCCAAGGGGCCGCCCCTCCACCTAGGAAAGCGACACCACACCCGTAGGTTCTGATCCGTGGGCGCTGAAATGAACAAGCCCCTTCAGAAGGCCCCGAGAGAAGCTCAACTGCACAGCCTTTTGGGAATTGTAGTTCGTGTCCGAGAAACTCAGACGTGCACCGCCCTTTGCTCTTTCAATCCCACAGGGCCTAGCGCGAGAGGGCTCGACGGGTCTAGTTTGAGGGTCTGCTGGGAAAGCGAGTTCTGGGCTCTTGATGACGTGCTTGACGAAGGAAGTGCACGACTACGTTTCCCGTCGTGCTCCGAAGTGGGCAGGACCCGGAAGTGAGGGCTACGAGGCCTCTCTGGAAGTTGTCCCGGGTGTTTGCAGCTGGAGCTCCGGGTCGATAGGACGAGGTACAGCTGCCAGGAGGATCATCGGCTGCTGCTGGCTCCCGGAGCCCAGCCCTTTCCTCTCCTAGCCCAGCCCAGCCCAATTCCAGCCACCAACGCCTGCCCCTGCTGTGGACTCCAGCGTTACCATGAATCCTGCGGTCTTCCTATCTTTATCCGACCTCAGATGCTCCCTGCTGCTCCTGGTGAGTGAATTGGGGAATGACAGACCCTTCGACAGACTCGCCGCCCGCCCTCGCCGAGGGGGAACACTGCCTCCGCTGCTTTCTCACCTTTTCTTCCTGCGGCGAGTGCGCCCTCCCCTCTGCCTTCACTTTTGCCTTCTGTCTGTCAGCATTCCAGGCCCCGGCTCCCTGAGGTCAGAGAAACCGCTGCCGGGGGTTTGGGACCTGTGATCTGGAGAATAAATTCTGGGGGAGATTACGTGGGAGGGTCGTGGCAGAGGAGTACGGCGTTGTTTCTTTTGGGGGGCCGCATGGACCCAGTGGTACCCAGAATCCGAAAGGACAGAAGATAAAGCTAGTGTTTTCTCCCACCTCCTTCCTTTTCCTTTGGAAAGGGTGTGAAGTGGCCAGGTTCTGGGGCTGTGTAGGTCTCACTCTGGAACTCTGAACCGGTCCGCGGGTTTGTGGAGCCATCTGTTGTGGCTTCCTAGGATTGGTTGGGAACCCGGAACTGGAGACTGCTTTGGTTTCTGCAGGGAGAATTAGGGTTTGAAAAGGGTGTGATTATCTGACAGGCTCAACTCAAGACCTCCTTTAAGTCTTGCTATGGCCTTCCTCCCCCCACTGACACATATTTCTTCTTTAGTACTCTTGACTCGAGAATGTTTTTGGCATACGGATGCACTCGTTGCTTTCTAACTTGCTCAACATACCCATCTTACAAAAGAATCAACCCAATTCCTCTTCCAAAGTACATCCCTGCTATGCAACCTACTTGCCCAGGCTTCAAGTAAAATTGAGATAAAAGTGAAGGACTGGCTCCATATGGCGAAACGATGTGTGTTTAATTGAGTTGTTATTATAATACAATGTTTGAAACTATTTTAATTGTAGGGGAGTTTTTAGAGAGCCAAATTAAGATGAACATTGTTGAGAAACCATTTTTTTTTTTTTTTTTTTTGCAGTTTAAGAAACGTATAATTCATGCAGATTAAAGGCAGAAACAAGTTTCTTGATTTGCAGTGCTTACTTATTCATGTCAGATTAAATTTTATTACTTGTATTTGAAATGGTTTTTCCCTTTGTACTTAGAAGGTGTGTTTAAGAGCCATATATACCACTCTGCCCTTTTCAGAAAAACTCTTAAAAACTAAATGTTTACATATTTTGAAAGTTGTATTATAAACATAGTAATATTAAATGATAGACTGCCTCGTTGCCTCATAAGCATACAGTGGTCTCATTAGAAAAAATTATTCTGTACAGTGCTTCTTTGTGATTTCATTATAGATTTTTTTTTTCCTTCTAGAAGTGTTTCTTTCTATAATGCCATAATTAGAGACCACTCTATTGTTAAGAACATAGATGCTTTTCCTTATCCATACAGTGGCTTGAATTAGGAGTTGCCTGTTAGAAATTACTTTTAAGTTATTGAAAGGTACAAAAGGCAAATAACTCAATAGAAAGGAAAGTTGAGACATTGACTAAGGAAACCTATATTAGATACTCTTTCCTCCTTTGGTCTTCTTTGAAATGATTTAGCTTTTAATAGAAAATTTAGTTCTGTTAAGTATGTGAAAGATTTTTTTCGTAAGATCTGTATTTTACTAAAATTAGGTTAACATTTTGTCTATCTTTCTAACCAAATGAAGACTGGAAACCTAGAACACATTTTGGAGAATACCTGTCAAACTTAATGGTCTGGAAATAAAGACCTAGAAAAAGTTTAATAAACCAGAATTACAAGTCAAACTAGATTCAACTTGAACACAGTGTTTTTCTAGTTTTACTAAGCTTGTTCCAGTTAGCAAATATTTATAAAACATCAATCTCATCACAGCTTGGAATGGCTTACCTGACTGATAATTCTGTTATAGTTATGGAACCTCCTTATTCTCAATCTCACCTCATGAATACATCCTCTCTCTCCCCCAATTTATTCTTTTCCTTATCTTCCGACTTCTCAGATTTCAAGGGTATTTCACACAAACATAGAACATTCAAGTTTCCACTTGGTGTAGGTCATTAATTTTTTTCTATAGAAACTATAGAACTTTTACTATACTTTTTTTTTTTTTTAAGAACTCAGTACCTCAGTCTTAAAGAACTAGGCATATTTAATAATATTTATAAGGTAATACCAGAAGCATAATTCTAAACTTCTGAAAGCAAATAAGCTCTTTTCCTTGCTCTCAAAAGCACTTTAGAATGTATCTATGCCTACAAAGCCTTTCCAGCTAGGTAACTAAACACAAAAACTCAATGTGATAATATTCTTCCTGAGGCTTTTGCATATTAAAATGTTATTTATTGGGCCCTTTTATCAGAAACAGGTTTATTCACGATTGAAAAGGATTGTTTTCTGCAGAAGTATTTGTTAGCCTTATTCTTTCTATATTGGTTGTATACAAGAGTTTTGAAAAAATGAAGAAAAGGCTAAATTGGGATGAAATTGTCTAATATCTGCTAAGAAACCTTCTGTGGTTCAGAAATTTTCACTGTTGTACTCCAGTTTTTCTATGCAAGATATTTTCTCTTTAAAAAATCTTGCTAATTAGGTTTATAGATCATAAACTGTAGCTAACCCTGACTGACCTGCCCTTACACTTAAAATGTTTGCTGTTATTCTTTGGTTTGTTTAATATGTACAGAAAGTTAGGAAAAGTTTGCTTAGTTTAAGAAGTGAATAAATTAGGAAGCTAGTTAATTTAAAAGTCTATAACTGTCTTAAAAATAAGTAGGTTACATTACAGTTCATAGGCATGTCAGTTGTAACTGTTGTGGCCAGTAATACAGATGTCAATCCTCAAGAAAAGTACTTTAGGACTCATGTAATTCAGTTCATAACCAGTGTTATAACTTACCGCTCACCTTGAGTTACAAACCTGGCTGCTTATTAGAATTGCCTGGTATAATTTTAATCAAATGATATCTGGAAATGTAGCTCTGTGATACAACACATATGCTAAGGATTCAGTCCTGAAGACAGTCCCCAGCCCCAACACTACCACCAGAAAAAGTGTTGGGCTCTATGCTAGATCATTTACATCTCAGGGACCTAGACATTGGTTTAATTTTTCCCCCAGAGTACCTTTATCATATCTAGAAAAATTAATCTAATTTTTAGTCAGTGTTTGTATTTCCTGATGGTGTCCATTTAAAAATAAACAACTAGATCATTTGTATTTGGGGGACCTAGGCATTAGTTTAATTTTTTTCCCCAGAATACCTTTATCATATCTAGAAAAATTAATTGAATATTTAATCAGTGTTAGGATTTTCCTGATTGTGTCTATAAAAAAAAACACAAACCTACAAATTGGGGCCATATATAAGGTACATTCATTCCAAGTAGTTCATGTCTCTTATTAAAATTTTTTATATCCTATAGAATTTCACATATATGGATATTACTTATTGTATCCTCATATGGTTTTTATCTTTCTCTGTGCTTGTATTTTTTTTTTAGGGTTTTTTTTTTTTTTTTTTTAAATGTAATTAGGACATGGCCTACAGGGTCTTACTACACAGATTGAACTTGTAATGATTCTCCCGTTTTCGGTCTCCCAAGTGCTGGAATTATAGGCACATACCACCACTCCCAGTCTCTATCGCCCTCTCAGTGCAGCCCAGGGTGGGCCAGCACAGCATGCTAGGGATCAAACCTCAGGATCCAACTTGGCGAACCTCATGATCAAACCTTGGCTGTTGCGCTCTGACTAAGCAGGCGCTTTAATCTCTGAGCTATGTGGCTGGCCCTTCTGTGCTTGTATTTATTATACATTTTTAATTTAATTCTTTGTGGTTTTAACATTACTTTGGCATATATTGTTAGGTGTGTTTTGTGTGTCTTTTGCTTTTTAACTTGTAAAATTTGTATTCTCTTTTATAATTATCTAAAACTTAGTACTTCCAAAGCCAAATCTATAAAGCAAGTGGTATTTGAATAGTTCTAATATGTGTTTCCCTCCTAATATAAAAAGAATTTCTAGTATATTTTTTAACTCGTTGATTATTCTTTTCTTTGGGTTTTAATATACCAAATATAGTTATATTAGTGTGTGCATATATTTGGTTTTTTCCCATTTGATTGAACTGTACATATTATTGATAATTTTCTACATATTTTTTTCAACTGAAAATTTTATCCTAGAGGTGGGGATAGAAATATTTTATATTTCTTTTTAAGCTACGTACATTACACAGGGTACATTTGTCAATTCCATATTGTTTCTACTCATATGCTATTACAAATAGTTCTGTAAATATTAGCTTATGCATGCCGAGTTTTGATATCATATCTTTGAGATAGATTCCTATAAGTGAAGTTGCTAGGGCAGAAGGTAAATGTACACTCAGTATTTATAGATGTTATGGTTATGCAATTCCTCTGTTGGGCTTGTGCTTGTTTTCTGATCTTGCCAGTAGTGTAACAGCTTCCGTGTGGACTTGGTAAGATGTGATGTAAAATAATTTGTCATTCTGGTAGGTAACAAATAGCATCTTAATGTGTTTTAATGTGATTCTATTTAATACAAGTGATAGTATTGATATTAATTAAAGTTAATATCAATTTTAACATGTAACAGTCATTTATCTGTCTTCTGGTGTAAGCTTGTCTTGTCTATAGAATTTTCAGTCTTCTATTTCTGTGTGTTACACAAACCCACTGAGGAGAGGAAAGAGACTATAAATAGACAGCTTTTTTTTTTTTTTTTTTTTTTTTTTTTTTTTTTTTTTCAAAAGGTCTTACTATGTAGTCCGTGGCCTTGAACTCATAATGTAACCCAGGCTGGCCTCAGACTTGCAGTGATCCCTGGATGCTGAGATTACAGACCTGTGCCACTACATCCAGTGAAAATTCTTAACTTTTGCATTCTTCCTCATTCTGTGATATACCTAAGGATGTATGGTACTGAACTATTTGTTATGAATTCAATAACTATGTCTGATGACTGAAAATTTGTAAGAGACTTGGAGAAGATTCTTATTACTGCATTTACTGAAAATATTTTCTAAAC